ATGCAGAGGCATTTGACTGTGGGATCACAAGAAATTGTGGCTAACCTTGAGGATGGGAATCTCAGAACACTTACTTGATTGGGCTCATGTGAAACCTATCCTCAGACCAGAAAAGAGTCCTCCGAATAGAGCAAGGAAACACTGTTGTTGTTGTTGTTGTTATGTGCCATCGAGTCATTTGCAACTCATAGTGACCCTATAAACAAAGCCCTAAACACTGTTCTATCCTGTGCCAACATCACTGTCTCAAACACATTCATTCCCACCACTCCACTCACAGAATCGATCCGTCTCATAAGGGTCTTCCTCTCCTGCACCATCCCTCCACTCTCCCAAACATGATGTACCTCTCCAAGGAACAGTCCCTCCTTGTAACATGCCCAAAGTATGTCAGATGAAGCTTCAGAATCTTTGACTCCAGGGAACATTCTGGCTTCATCCTCTCCAGGACAAACCTGTTTGTTCTCCTAGAAGTCCATGGTATATTCAACACTCTTCTCCAGCACCACAACTCACAAGCATCAATTCTCTTTCTATCATCCCTATTCACTGTCCAACTCTCCAATGCATCGCATGTAATTGCAAAGACTATAGCCTGGATCAGGCGCACCTTAATCGCCAGCCTGTTGTCGTTGCACTTCAGTACTCTTGAGAGGTCCCTCACAGCTGACTTTCCCAATGCAGTTCGTCTCCTGATTTCCTGGCTACTGTTACCAACAGTGTTGGCTGTGGAGCCAAGTAAACTAAAACTGTTAACTATCTCAGTTTCTTCACCATTCATACTGATGCTGCCAATTGGCCCAGTGGTGAGAATCTTTGTTTTCTGCATGGTTCAAAATCAGGAAAAGAGTGTGCTAGGGATGTATCCTTTCATATATCCTTTCCATACCTTTTCAATCTATGTGCAAAACAGATAATTTGTGAGGCTGGGTTTTAAGAGGGGGAATGTGGCATCAGGGTGGGAGGAAGAATCATCAACAGCCTACATTATGCAGATGACAAAACCTTGCTTACTGAAACTGAGGAGGACCGGAAATGCTTGCTGCAGAAGGTCAAGGACTGCAGCCTTCAAATTGGCAGTGCCATGATGGATGGAGAAGAAATTGAAGCTGTTAACAGTTACAGCTTGCTTGGCTTCACAATCAACACTCTTGGCACCAGCAGCAAATCAAAAGATGAATTGCATTGGGAAAACCTACTGTTAGGAATCTCTTTAGAGTACTGAAAAGTGGCGATGTCATTGTAGAGACTAAGGTGTGCCTGATCCAGGCCATGATCTTTGCAATTATATGCTATGCATCAGAGAGCTGGACAATGACTAAGGAAGACAGAAAAATTGATGCCTTTGAGTTGTGGTGCTTGAGAAGAGTCTTGAACATACCATGAACTACCAAGAAAACAAATAGGTCTGTCTTGGAGAGGGTGAAACCAAGTTTTTCCTTGAAGGTTAAGATTTTGAAGCTCTGTCTCACATACTTTGGGCACGTGGCCAAGAGGGGCCAGTCTTTGGAGAAGGACATCATGCTCGAAAGGGTGGAGTGACAGGACAAGAGAGGAAGACTTTCAGATGAAATGAATTGATACAGTAACTAGGACAATAGGGGTAAGTGTGTCAAAGTCAGTGAGACTGGTTCAGGACAGGGCAGACTTCATAGGATTGCTGTGAATCACAGATCATTCAGTGGCATATAACAACAACATATGATCTCTTGTGCTCAAAATAATGTAATCCTTGGAAATAAACTATGTCTAATGATACTATGATTTTTTTTATCCTTTATATTTATCTTCTGGATTTAACTAAATACATAGCTAAATAGCTAAACTAGTTAGCATAAGTCGAAGTAGAGGTTGTGTTTTTTTAATCTTCTGCATACCCTGTACATTTCTAATTGTTTAACAACTCACATAATTGTTAATTTCTTATTCTATTCTAGTTATATCGGCTTCTCTAGGCCCCCTTAGTGAGCTCTGGTGGTGTGGTTCTAGAGAGTTGTGTTGCTAACCTAACGGTGGTAGTTGTCTGACAGTTAGACCACATGAGCCATTCCATGGGAGAAAGATGGTTAGTCTCTTCTCCTGTGATTTACAACCTTGGACACTTGCTTCAAGGTCAGTCATGAGTCATACCCAACTTGACAGTAATATGAAAGAGAAAGTAAGGAAGGGGGAAGTCATTATCTCTTGTCTGTTTTAGGGTTTAACTCTATAGGGTTAGCATGATGAGCTTGGGTGGTAGAAATTTTATCTGTAATTGTTTTGATTGTGGTTATAGGAATCTTTTTATTTGTTTAAAATAATAAATTATTTTTTTATCTTGTGATAATATTGATGTTTTAACATTTCCTTGCCATTCTTTAAAAATTTTAGGCCCAATTCATAGCAGACCCTCCAAAGTACTTACAAGTAAATGAAAAATAAACTCGGAGCCTAGTATTCAAAGCATTATCCTGAGTAGTGAAGAAGATACAAATATGCAGTAAGCATGTTTCTACTCTGAAAATATTTATGTTCTAATAAGATAGAGGCAGAGAACACAATAATAAGAGAAGTTGTAATTATCTTTTAAGGAGGTAAAAACAATATGCTAGTTCGTTCCAAGAGAAAGAAAATAGTTCTCATTAGAATAGTAGGATAATTCTTCATTGAAGAGAAAACATTTGCACTGTGGCATTAATTTTTTGCAGTTAAAAATAAAGGCAAAGGACATTTTGATAGCTATGAAAAGTACAGAACTCTTTATAGATTTGCAAACTTTCCTATTTGTAGTACATTCTGACTTTGAATCTGTATTTCATTAATTATTCTCTGGTAGCACTGTGGTTAAGGCATTCAGCTAGTCTATTCATTATGGTCACTCTATAGGAAAAAGCAGAGGGAGTCTGCCTCCATAAAGCCTGGGGAACTCCATGGGATAGTCTTCAGGAACTCTTTAAGGCTTTTGGGGCTCAATCTCAAATTTCTTATAAATAGAGGTATAATTGGTGGGAATTTTTTAGTATTTTGAAGTTAATCATTTTAGAGTTGTTTCTGGTTTTAATGATTGTGAATATGACTATTCTGGCTTTCATTTTATATGTTATTGTTATGTGCTATTGAGTTCCTTGCAACTCATAGTAACCCTGTGTACAACAGCTCTGAAACCTGCTCTACACTGCGCCAACTTCCCTGTTTCCAACCCACCTACTCTCATTACCCCAGTCACTGTGTTACCCCAGTCACTGCATCAGTCCATCTCATCAGTAGTCTCTCTGTCCTTTGTCCCTCCACTCTTCTCCAAGGATGGTCCCTTCTTGCAACATCCCTAAAGTATGTCAGACGAAGCCTCAGAATCCTTGCCTCCAAGGAGCAGGCTGACGAACCTTGGCAGTCCACTGTATATTTAACACTCTTCTCCAACCCCACAGCTCAAAGGCATCAATTCTCTTTCTATTATCCCTACTTATTGTCCAGATTTCTGTCACATAGCAAGCAATTGTGAAGACTATGGCCTGAATCTCCGGACTGATGTCATTGCTCTTCAGTACTCTGGAGAGGTCCCTGACAGTCAACTTTCCCAATACAATTTGTCTCATAATTTCCTGGCTGCTAAGTAAATTAGAATAAATAGAATTTTTAAAATACACAGTCTTATATTTGGGGAGCTCTGGTGGCTTACTAGTAAGGAATGATAATATCAACTCAAAGGCATGCAGTTCAAATCCACCTACTGCTCCACAGGAGAAAGATGAGCAGTCTCCTCCTGTGTGACTTACAGCTTCTTAAATCCCACTGGAGGGTCAGTTATGAGTCGCTTCTGACTTGACAGAATGTAATAACAACATAAAATATTTCTACTTGGGTGAATGAGTCAACACTGACAAAAATAATAATAATGCATTTTCTGTTTTCTTCTTTCACAGGTTTTCTGTGAAAACCCTAATTGATCGGTCCTGCTTTGAGACAATTGATGATTCTTCTCCTGAATTTAACAATTTTGCAGCTATTTTGGAACAGATACTCAGTCATCGGCTAAAAGGTAACAGTACTATTTTATTTTCTTCTCACTGTGTAATAAATTTGAAATTTTACAAATACACTCTAGTCTGTAAAATGCTACACACCTAACTCAAAAGCTGGGCTCCTCAGTAATTTAAATCCACCAGTGGGTTTGAAGGAGAAAGAAGGATAGTCACTCCTCATTTTGTTTTGCAGCCTTGGAAATGCAATGGAGGGTTAATATGTAGGAACTAGCAGTAAATGTTGAATGAGTTTCACTTAGATAACAATCTTGCCACATCTTGAGAAACAGCAAAACCGATCAGAGTTCTAATCTTTTGACCTGTATCATTAGAAAAGAATCATTCTTGATTCTACACCTATTTCCAGAATGTGTTAAAGATGTTGCATATATTATATATATGAATTATTTATTATATGCAACCCAGTAAAAATATTTAAAGAAGGTGTTGCATATATAATTGCTGTGCACAAATAATAAAGTTACTTTCCATAGTTGAACGTTGTACCATGTGGTCAGATGGACTTATAGCTGACCCTCAAGCACATTTTTAGAGCCTATAAATTGTACAATAGGAGACTGCTAATTTTTCTCCCCGAAGCAGCCGGTGATTTGGAACTGTGTGCCTTTGGGTTGACAGTACAGATTCTTATCACTAGAACACCAGAACTTTCTTAACACCAGATCACCAGCACTTTCTTTCCACAAGTAACTATGAAATAAAATCTTAAACTAAAAAATTAGCCAAGGTCATGAGAAGGTATTTTAATACATTTATAAAAAAAGTAGGCATTAATTTCTACATTCTTAACCTCTGGAATATTTGAAAAAAATGTCAGCATTTTCTTTACCAAGAAAATTTTTTAATTTACCAAGTAATATGTTCATTTGGTTTACCTAAAATTAATAAGTAAATGCGTTTATATCAGAAATTTATAGCTTTTTAAATGAAACGATTAAAGGGATGATGGGGGCTATGTTTTATCTGACGTAAAATTTTTTAAAATTAAAAATATTCATCTATAAAATACTGTGAATAATATTAAGTGGAGAGATCTGGTGGCTTAGTGGCAAAAAGCTGCACTGCCATCCTGAAGGCATGTGGTTCAAGGCCCCCAGCTGCTCCACAGGAAAAGGATGGGCAGTCTCCTCCTGTGTGATTAACTGCCTCTGAAAACCTGCCAGAGGGTCAGCTATGAGTCGATTCTGACTCAGTGGTACACAAGAACAACAACAATATTAAGTCTTGCATAATATACCTTTTAGTAACAGAAAAATTTTATCACAGTAATTCCTTAATGGAAACGTGGTCATTCCTATTTTCACTTAATTTTTTATTATCTTTATAATTTAATGATATAATTTCAATAGTAATGAGCTTTGTTAATAGATCTCCATAGAATTTAAAAATCAAGCTGAAGATTAATTCTGTTGTATAATTATTAAAGCTGAAAATTTCTAAGTTGTACTCAAGTGTTTAAATCAATTCAGCACTTGTATAATTCCATAGCAGAGGGTTAAATCAATTACTCGGGAGAAAAATCTAAAGTCATTTAGTTCTTTGCAGTTTAAAAAGTTCCATAAAGTCACTGGCCCATTTTATGCTGAAATTTGGTTATTTTGCAGTTTAAAAAGTGGCAATAAAAATTGTTTTTCATTTTGCTGTTAACTATTTTCCAGATTTTTAGTTGATGCTAGCTTTTGTGAGGAAAAGAAATTTTCATAAAAAAATAGAAGATTTTGAGAAATTTTCAGACTTATTGTGCTGTGACAGTACTTTAAAATTTTATATATTATAATATTGGACTTGAAACCAGTGGAAACCTAGTAACCCCTTGATGTACATTAATGTTCACCAGTATTTTACCATAAAACATCAGTTCTCTTGATTTGGTTTCTTGCTTAGCATGTGATTATTTGATAAAACATATAACCAACCTATATGAATAGGAAACAGTGAATCCATTTTGAGATGTCCATGCTGAGTCATTCACCTAGTAACTAAGTGGACTTCTCTTGCCCACTTGTCTGTAATCTTCTAAGTCCTACTTCTTTAGAGATCATAGATCTTCAGAATTCATTCAAAGCAGTTAAATCTATTAGTGCTATTTCTGAACTAGTGAATTTTGAAAAAAGAGTCCCTTCAACTAGGGATTTATGTTTTAAGAATTCCATCAGTATGATATAAACAGTGAGAAAGCTCATACGCTGAGATTTGTACCAATTTCTAGGTTAAGTGAACTCTCCTCTGGATGTTTCTATAAATAAAATGTTATGGTCACTCTAATTAGTACAGATATGACTTATGAAAGAGCTTGTATCTTTTTTTCAACATTTTATTGTGGTTTAGGTAAAGGTTTCAAAGCACGTTAATTTCCGTTTCAACAATTCATACTCATTTTGCTCTGTGATGTTATCTGGTGCCATAGTCTGGAGGGCGTTGCGGTACTAACCCAAGTGTGATACTTCTCTGGCCGTTCAAATCTACCAGGACTTTTATGTGACAGAAAAATGGACGATCTCCTGTAATACTTAGACCTTCCAAAAATCTGCTGAAGGATCAGCTGGTAGTCAGTCCTGATTGCCTGAATGACAGTGTAATAGCATTGTTTCATAACATTATTCCTTAAGTTCCTTGATTCCTGCCTGTTGTGACTTGAATTTTATTTTGGGGCAAATGCTACAAATTTGGCCTTTTCTGGTTATCTGAGGAACTTGTTCTTCATGGATGTTATTGTTCACTTTGTAAGTTACATCTTGTTTGGCTAAAGGGTGACTTCTGAGGCGCTGAGGCCCGTTCCAGATTTGGAGGGAGTCCAAGAGCTTTAATTGTGGGGTTCCACAGGTCTCTAATCAGACCAGTGAGTCTGACTTTTATTATGTTTTTAAAATTTTGTTTCTACAATTTTTCTTCTTCTGTTGAGGACATTGTATGATGATCCTGATCAGGGCAGTTGGTGATGGTTACTGGGTATCATCTAGTTTTTCTAGTCTTGAGCTAATGGAGACTGTGGTTAGTATAGTTCATTAATATTTGGAATAGTTGTCTCCTTGGGTGTTTGCTTTTCCTCACACTTCTTTACAGTATTTGTGTCTTAGATGACTGCTTGTAAGTTTTTAAGATCCTGGACTTTGCTTAGCAACAAAGGATATGGAACATTGTATTTATGGACTATGATATGCAAATAGGTCTAGGTGCCCCAAGCAGTATGATCCTAGACTGTCAAACCCAGTGACTTAGTCACTCAAGGTATTTGGTATGACTAAGAAGTCTGCATAGCTTTGCCCCCTGTACATTTTTCTGTATACCTGGAAATAGTTACAACACATACAGATCTATTTACAGAAATGCCCCTGGCAAACCTGCTTGTTATGAATGATATTTTGGAAGTGATACTTCTCTATTAGGGATTTTAAATCTTCACTTTGCTAAGTGATCAGTTTTGCTCATGCTGATTTCTGAATTCTACAAAATCTCCATCAAATTATTGAGCAAGCTGTTTTATAGATACCAACTAACGGATATAAACATTTTTGTGATTAGACAATACAATTAATTTCTGGGGAAGCACTGGGTTGTTAACAGGTTAGAGGTTCAGAACCTTGTGCCTCAGAAGTACCCTGGTAATCTGCTTCCTAGAGCCTAGAGAACCCTAGGAAGCAGCTCTCCTTAGCCCACATGGGTCATCATGAGTCAGAATCATGAGTTGACACTGCCTGACAGCAGCAGGTAAATTAACATGAACAGGCAAAATGGTTACACAAAGGAAGAGCCGAGTTGCAGACTCATACTATATAACTTCATACCAGTGTAATGACGTAGTAATCACGATCATGCCATATTGATAAATGCATAAATATAGATCACTGCAACAAAAGAGAGTCCAGAAATAGAGCAAGCTTTTAAGAGTCTAGTCTTTGTAATGTAGGATGTTGTACATCATGGACTGTGTTATGCAAATTGACCTAGATATCCCCTGAGACCATGGTCCTAAGCCATCAAGCCCAGTGATTTATTCAAATGTAGCTGTGTTTGACAAAAGTTTAAAAGCAATTCAGTGGAGTAATGATAATCTTTCTAGCTTATAGTACTGGAAGAATCTCAGATCTATAAGCGAAGAATGAACCTCAAACCATGCCTCGTAATATATACAAAAGTTAAATTGAATCTAAATATAGATCTAAATATGAAATGCAAAACTTTACAATTCTTTAAAGAAAATTGAGAACACCTTTGTTATTTTCAAGTTGTTGTTGTTGTTGTTATGATGTGCCGTCGAGTCATTTGTGACTCATAGTGACTCTGTGTACAGCAGCCCTAAACCCTGCTCTATCCTGTGCCAA